GAAATCTTTCATTGATAATGCAGTATAGTCCCAAATCTGAGTAAACACCTCATAAGAAATTCGAAGGCTTCTAATAAGGCACACATGCACTGGGTATGTTGGTGCACACCTGCAGTCCCAACACTCTGGGGCGCTGAGGCAGGAGGATTGCAAATTAGAGCCCAGCCTGTGTCAGTTAATTACTTAGTAAGATCCTGTCTCAAAGTAAAAACATAAAAGGCTGAAAGCCTGGGGATATATAGCTCAGAGCGAAGGCTCTCAACCTCCAGTACCAGAAGAAAAAAAGAAAGAGAAAAACATAGATAAGAGAGAAAATGAAACTTTTATGAAGGAAAAATTTCCCTTTTCTATAATGAAAAAGCAGTAATAATTATTATGAAAAATTCAATTCTGCTCATGCAGGTGATCTAGAATGGTGGTGTTATGAGGATTCTCTCCATGTAATCATATGCAGAAAAAAACCTCAAGGACCACTCTGATGCCCGCCTGTATTCAACTCAACATGGACTACATTTTTCATTTACACAAAGGTTTTAGGTAGAGGCTCTAAGAGACTAAAATGATTCAGGTGGAGGTCATCCATCTCAGAGATGTTATCTCTAATCCTAAAATATTGCCTGTTATGAAAGTGTGCTTCTCTATTAGTGCATTTACCACCGTAGGTCACTTGATTAGCCTTTATAGAAGCTGCCATGGATAGGACAGTCAATGCTTTAGACAATGCAGAATAGTTAAAAAAATGAGGGTATTTACTTGTATGAACCTTATACTTTAAGGATGCAGAATGCTTATTTACAAAACTACTAGAAATACACAAAATATCTACTTTTATTGGACAAGGGTCTACAAGAATTGATAAAGTGCTAGCTAGAGAAAGAATGAGGAGGGACACCTGCAGGTGGATTTTGGGGTGATGTTGGCTCATCAATAATCCAACCTTGGGATGAGACCAGTAAGAAGAATATCTGGGCAGTGGAAATAAAATATAAAACTTCAAGCACTGAAGCAAGAGCATTTTGGAGTTCTCAAATGAGAACTGTTGCAGTGAAGCTAAGGGAAGGCCTTGTTTGAAGCTGATTAAGGAGAAGAATGAGAAATAATGCGAACATGAATAGAGGAGAAAACTGTGGTCAGATGAATAAATGATTCATAGTAAGTTGGATTTTTTTTAATGTGATATTAAATTTATTTGTATTTCTAATACTCACAGGTTTCTGAGACCCAATAACTGGGGTGGCTGTATGGTTTACTATTCAAATGAATACTTTGAGAGCAAAAAGGGGCTCTTAATAATTACACACTGGGATTGTCTTAGGCAAATTGGGTCATATAGTGCCCTAACAATGATGTCAACCTAAGAGACCTGAGACACATACCTGGCTATTTTGTTATCAGACAAGCATTCCTTCTATACTTTTTCTCAAAAATAATGAAAGGCTTTTATGTATGGGGTGGATAGATTCTCTGGTGTGAAAAACTAAAAGTGTAAATAAGGTTCAAATGGTATAATTGATAATGTGAAATAGGAAATAAAGGTCTAAAGGAGTAGGGAAGTGGGAAAGGTAGGGGAAAGGAAAGAAGGGAAAAGAAAAAATATGAGAAAAGGAAAAAATGGAAACAAAGTCTCTGTAAAAAGGAAAGGGTAGAGGGGATGAAGGGAGGGCAGGGAAATGGGGAAAAAATAAGAACCAAGAAACATCATGTACAGGTACAAGATCCCAACAAGGAATGTAACTGTATTTTATGCCTAAAATGTACCAATAAACAATGAAAAAAAAAAAAAGAAACTGAATACAGAGTATTGGGCATGACATTTAGCTGTTGGGAGAGGGGACTGTCCTCTTTCCTCCTACTCACCACTCATTTTTGAACTACCCAAAACCTGGATCATCAAGATAAAAAGAATTCAATCTAGATAATGTGGCATAGTGGGAAAAGCTTTGCCTTTGGACTCAAGAAAAGCTGGGAATTAATGTTAACTCCATTAGTAACTAGCTATGTAATCTTGGATATATCATTTAACTTATTTGAACCTGTATTTTCTAATACTGGTATTGTCATTGTACTGAAGATCAAATCATTAAATTACATGTGAGAAAGTGTTTTTTGACACAATAAACCAATGAGTGATGGTCATTTTTGAACATGTTCCCAAAAGTCATTCTTCTTTTTGTTAAATATTTTTTTCCAAGCATTGGATGGCTCTAGTGATCAGTGCTGTAAGTTAGTCTTGGTCATTCCAATCTTTTTGTCAGTGACTGGCTCAGGAACAATCAATGGAATAGAAGGCAAGCCTTGTGGGTGTATGATAAGGGAAGATTTCCTTGTTTTTAAAAAGAGATTCAAGAAAAAACATACCCTGTTTCTATCTTTCGGTATGTATGTGTGAGGAGGGCTATGTAGAGCCCTTTTGTAGCTATAATGAGTGCTGATAACATGCAGAAGAAGGAAGAAGGGGTTATGGAAAGGACACGAGTCCTCAGTGAAGTCATCACTGTGCTGTTAAAATAACCCAAAACTATCTTCCTTCTGAACAAAATGTTATATGAGATAATATTTCAGTCATAAATTTCCTTTAAGTTGGATCTTTTGTGACTTTTACCTGAATGAATCTTTAAAATCTGAGGAGCACTTCCTCTGCCTTCAAAATGAAGCCATTAACTGTGAGATCATCTCTAGGTAAAAAGATCAGGAAATGGGAAAAAGAAGGCAGTGAACTCACTACTTTTAAGAGCAGCAATAACTTCATCTATACTGAAGAAGTTGGAATGAGTCTTTATAGGATTCTGAGCTTGAGGGGCAGAAGACTAAGCCAGTTTGGAAAAAAAGAAAGAAGAAAAAAGAAAGCAGAAAGGAGAAGGAGAAGAGGAAGGAGAAGGAGAAGAGGAGGAGGAGGAAGAGGAGGAAGACGAGGAAGAAGAAGCTATTCCCTTCACAGATTGGGCTACAGTGGAAGGGAGGAATTTCTAGGCACTATCGTAACAATTTTGAATGGACAGAAGGCTCTTAAGAGAGTCATGAAAGTTTGGAGCTGGGAAGTTTCTTTAAAAAGAAAAAGAAGCCGGGGATTTAGCTCAGTGGTTTCATCGCCTGCTGTGCAAGCACAAGAACCCGAGTTCGATCCCTGGTATCAAAAAAAGAAAAAAAGAAAAAAGAAAAAGAAAAGGTTTGTTAGAAACCTTTCTTTGCAGAAATTGTGTTGGGGACCATCTTCAGAGATTGGATTGGGCAGAATGCATGCTTGAAGAATATGAATAGCTAGAAAGAAAGGCTAATCATAATTTAGAAAATAAACTTTCATCTTTGTCATAGTTGTACCTGAAATATTTGGCAGAGTTAACTGATTAAGTAGGTGGAAGGACAGGGAAAGAAGAGTGGATAACAGAGGCTCTAAAGGCATAGAATCTTTTCCAACTGGATGGGAAACTGCTTCTTGACTGAAAGCTCAATCAAATCTGCTACTCTAGGGGTAGGGTCCAGGCTGGGGAGGGCACTATGATACTACAGCATTTGGGGTCAGATGCTGCCTAGAAGTTGGCTTCCCACCCACAAGGAAGTATTTCATGGCAGTTCCTTGACTGAATCACAGAGAGTGGTTTAAGGACATCTACATCTTTCAGAGATCTAAAATTACAGACAAGATCATATTGGCATTATCTGAGACTTTAAAAGATGCTCTTAAAAAAAAGATGCCCAGTTCCTAAAGGATAGTCTGTAACTTGTGGTATGCTATGTGATGAATAAGTCCTTCTAAGAGGGATAATAATAAATTTTCAAATGGTGTACAATTAAGTCTGAAGGAGGGTATGAGTAGGTAAGTTTGATGGAGAAGAGCTAATACAGAGTGGATTCATCATATTACAAATATTATGCAAAAGATGACCTTGTTTCCAAATTCTAGTTAAATAATATAAATTTTCACAGGTTGACCTGATGATTTTTATTTTCACTGTATTCTGAGATAAGATGGGAGAAGGTTTATGCAAACACATGTTTACCTAAGGAACACAGAAACAGAAAATAAAAATAACCCAAGGCAGTTCAGTGGAGTCTGCTATGACTACACAACTTCCCTCTGAAGACCTTTAAAAGCCCATATGAGTAGGAATTAGAAAAACTACTAAAATTCATTGTTTTTGTGAATTAAACTAAAGATACACAATATATGTCTCAGAAGCCAAAGGTTTCAGCTGTCTATGAGCACAATAACTTTTAAGGTTTGGAAATGAAAGAGGAAAAATGAATCAATTCTTTTGGCTTAACATGAGGCAGGATGGTATACAGTGTGGGAAGAATGAAGACAAGAAATAATCTATTTTGTACAAACCAAACTTGCAAAATGCACACACATATCAGAGTTTAATAATTTGTATTTATAAAAATTACACTGGGAATGTCTCCTCTTCCCCATTTCTCTTCAAAGGAAACCCAGGAAGAAGAAAGAACCAGGCAGCAAAGCTGGTTGCTCTGGTTCACACTTTGGCTTTTGAATGGGACTATTTCAAGCCACTGAATCTGTGACCCTGTTTTCCTAAGGCAAATGAATAATGTTATTTGCTCTCTCTTTTATTGATTTATTTTTTTGATTGTCTATAGGACAGGAAGTGCAAGTAGAGTGTGCGAGAGAATGCTTTTCTTTCCCAAGTGGTTCAGAAATATAGCTAATTTTCCCATATCCCATATTGATTCTACTTTAGTTTTTGTGATGAGTCCAGGACATGCAAGGGATCTAGAAGATAATTAGATGAGGTTGAGGGCCTTGACATACCAATGAGTTTTGTAATTATTCAAAACAGCAAAAATAGCCAACACAACCCAAACAAACAACTGTTAGATCCCTTCTTGCTATAAAAAAGTTAAAATAAACATAAAACTCTTCATCTTTACCTTTCTAAGAACTTGATGTTTTCTGTTTTGCAATTCTTTTATTGAAAATAATTTCTTTCAAATGATTGCTTGCGTAATTGTAGCCTTCAGTAATTAAGTTCTTATCAGTTTAGTTGATTTTAATCGTCTAAAAAGTTTATTTAAAATAAAAGGACAATATATTCTGGAAGTAGAAACCAACTGATCTCATTACTTCAAACAAGGCATTCAAAAAAATTCAATTGATATTGGACCCTATGGGCACATTTTGGAACAATAATGGTTCCCTGTGTATACAGTCCTAGGACTTAAAATGTTGGCATAATTCCTGTCTTGCTAATCCATTACATCGAGGAAAGTCATTGTTCTTTTTAACACAATACTAACAAACTAGTTTCTGTTCCAAATGCTGAGATATAATAAAATTCTGTAGACATCATCACCCTCTCTGGGATTGCCAGTTTTCATGGAAGCACATCTTTTGGCACAATATCCATATTCTGTAGATTTTTTTCAGGAATATCAATACTAGGGGAAAAGACATTTCAGAATGTAAATTATCAGACTCTTTTTAATAAGTTTAAGTAGCATGTACATATATTCTTGTCCCCAGTTGAAAAGTCCTTATCATTTTTAACTACTAGTCAGTTTATGCCAATACTGCATTTCTCTTTACTTTTAAACAATAATAGCATGGTTACCTCTGGATCTTTTGGGTATCAATCAACCAGTTAGTGTTATAAGGCCATTTACTATACTGTCCTTTGCCTGTTTCTCCTAATCAGACCGTCCCTTCTATTCATTTTTATTGTTATTAAAAAGTTCTGGGAAACATGATAGAAGAGAAGTTAGAAGCTAAAGGTACTGGCACAGTGAAGCTTTGGATCACTTGTGAATTTTAAGAATCTCTTCCATTCCTGACCCCTCAATGGCATGGATAATTCAGTATCTGAAGATACGAATAGCCACAAGTGACTGATAAAAACACAGCTACTTTTCACAACATGGTTCAAGGAGCAGCTGGACCCAGTTCCCATTTCTGCTGGAGCGCTGTTCCTAGGTCCTGCAGACTTGTGGCCTTCTGGCAGCTGCTGTCCCTTACAGTGGCATAGGAGCATGAGGCAGTGATCACAGACACCTGGCTATGGCTTATAGCAGGATGACACAACTGCACTACACAACAGCAGAAAAAGAGCAAGAGCCGAAAAAGTTCTGGTTTGGGCCCAAATCACTAGTCATTTCACTTCATGAATAAAAGCAAATGCTTTATAAGCTTACATTATTTACAATGCTCAGATTTTTTCAAACATCCACCCAAAGCTGAGGACCACCACGCCACAGGGAACAGTTCGATGAACTATGTACAGAATTTACAAGGAAGTTTACATAATAGTCTACATTCCATTTTCATTAACACATTTTGCTTTTTGTTTTCTGCTTAGTTTCAGGAAACATACTTTTGTTTATTTTGCTGTTTTCTTCATCCCAGCAACGTGATGATTTGAACTAGCTTGAGTTAATGCTTGTGTTTTCCTTTTGCCTCCCTTCTGGGATATATGATTATACTTTATTTAGGAAAAGAAATGGTGACACATCACCATTTGGTAAGATACTATTCAACATTGTCCATAGAAGAAATTTTGGAGATCACTTCCTTCCAGAAGCATTATACATACATCTTTTTCTTTTTGGTTTAACTTGGCAGATCATAATTGAACTCTTTCCTAAATGAATATTTATAAAATAGTCATGGATTTTTAGAAAGATGGAATTTAGTCTATATTTCTATGTATTGTGCATAATATTTTAAAAAAGGAAAGCCTATTCTTGGACCCTTAAGCCAAATTTAAGCTCTGCACCATATTTTTCCGTTTGCATTTTCAAGATCTTTCATTGGCTGTAATGCACAATGAAAATGGCATGTATGGAAAAAAAAGTCATTCAGCAGGAAGAAGTACCAACCAAGTTGCTATTTCTTTTTGGTGACGGAGAGGATGGAGGCAATAATTCTGGATAATTCAAGCAAAAATAAGTCTTTACCTGGGCCTTTGATTCACAGAGTTGGTAAGCATAACATACATGTCATCTCTGAATTTTAAGCCAAGGAACATGTATAGAAGGAATGAGTGTGTAGTCATCATTGTCAAGTGAAAAATGGGATTTCTGCTGCATCTGCACACATTAAATCAACACAGTTTGTGTTACAGTTGATGAACTGAGCATGGGTTTCCCTGGACATGGCTGTGGCATAAGAGAGTGAGGCTGTGCAATTTTCAACCTCTTCTGCCACTTAAGTAATATAGAGTATTATGGCTATTTTTATGGCAGAAAGAAAATAATCCAAGAGTAATTAAATAGTAACCCTTGTATAATGTAATACTCGGAATCTTTCAAGAATGGGGGCCAATATGAGGGCATTTAAGAATGTTTCACAACTTTTATGTTTTATGTACATCATTTGGGGCAAGACAAGGGAGACAGCCAGAGAAGAAAGAATTCTTCCCCCCATGCTTTGTTCAATCTAGAAGAGGAGGATTTAGCCAAGAGGAGAGCAAAGGAGGGAAGGATTGGTCTGGAAAGTGTGCAAAAAAAGGGAGTGGGAACAGAAGTCATTAACTATACACACGGCAATGTCTTATCCTTCTGGCTGCCATTGCCTCTAAAATCAGAGCTGTTTGATAAAATATGCATAATCATGGCTGTGATCTCTGTACTGCCTGGATGAGGACACTACTTTGTGTCCAATGGATAGTTTCAATTGTAATTTTACAAAGTTTAAAATATAAGAGCTCAAAATATTCTCTCTTTTTTTTTTGTTTTCAGAAGATGTTTTACATGTACAACTACAGGAAAAATATTTCACATTTTTAATGGTAAGATAGAGATAATAATGAAAATACAAGTTACCTCAATCTTTTCCAAGAATGATCTGAGCAGATAAATAGAGATTGTTTTGTTAAGGAACATAGACTATAGACACTTACTTTCTGATTTAACATTTCATCCTTAAAAGCTTTGATATCAGAATTATGCATTTCTATTAGGCACCAGCCAGAATTTTTTCTTCCTATGTTTAAAATAAATGGTTACACAGTGGTTCCCGGGTGGTCAATAAGAGTATTAACCTTACAGTCACTGACAGGGCCACATCTACCCTATTTGGGCATTTTACCATGCCAAAGCATCTCATCTGCCAAAGAATTGAACTGAATTTCGGGCTGGGAATTACTTTGACCAGGGAAGTGTGTTCACACAACTGAAAACCTAAATAAAAATTTGGTCCCCATAACTCTACTAATTCCTCATGAAACCATTGAGATCATTTTTTTCTAGTTAAGGTGGAGGTTTTATATTCTTACTAATATATGTTATCTTCAGCCATACCACATTCATTTATTTGGGAGTTCCCCTTTCCTCTTGCTTTCTAAAAGAATATCCTATAACTCTCTCTTTCTCTCTTTGGACTCATCAGTAGGAATTCAGTCTTATCTTTTCAATTATGACTATAATTTCCAGCAGCTTGTGCTATTCTACACATAAATCCCCCGCCCCCCAGCTTTAGGGAGAAAGTCAGCTCATCAAATGAGATATTTTTCCCTATTATTACTTCAACCTTTTCTCCCATCCATGGATCAGGTGCCAAATCACCTCTCTCAGTGGTTGGTCAATGTAGGGTTTCACCTCAACCTTGTAAATGAATATACAGAATTTTTAGGTACCTAAACTGAAAAAAAAAAAAAAAGTTTAAATGACATAAAAGAGGAAAAATTTCCATTGCAGCTGGTTAGACATGTTTAGAAATGTGCTGCACTATTGAAGGTCATGAGGACCATGACCCAGAGTAATACATGAGCAGAGATAAGGCAGAGCAGGAATGACAGTGACTATGAGTGTAGACTGGGCCTACACTTTTAGGGCTGGTGCACATCTTTAAAAGCCGACTGCTTTTGTCATTGCTGTTGTTTTTATCTAGTTTTACTCCCTCACAAGCTTTCTGGCTTTGGAGGAGAACAGTACCCATATGGGTGAGTATACATTTCCTCAATCATTCATTTCATAGCTGGGAACTCAGAGCTCAGCGAGCAGAGCATAATGTGTCAGCTGAGGCCTGTGTGATGAGCCTGTCATCATTAGATACTGCTCTCTGGAAGGCTAAGGAATATATACTATTTGATTTAAGATTTGGCAGTTCAGGTATCTGCTCAGGCACCCTTTCACAGCACATACATCTTGCCTTCCTTTTAGAAAGGGCATTTTTTTTTTCCTTAGGCAATAATTGCTTTCTATCCCCTCCTTCAAAGCCCTCACCACCTTATCCCACATATCCTTTTTCTCTCTGGAGAAGGAACTGTGGAAATGTCACAGAACAACCTCAAAGGATTCCAGACTCATGAGGTGAATTCAGGGCTGCTCATTGGAAATTTTCAGTAAGAAAGTGTTGAAACCCCTCCACCCCAACTCTTTATTCTCAAGAAGAGAAAAATGTTCTCAATGGCTACAATTTTACCAGACTGGATTCTAACATTCATTGTACATTTGTGGGGCCTTCTGAGAAAGACGCGTTTCTAAGAAAATGCAGCCTTCTGGTGAGGGGAAGATGGCAGGTCGAGTGTGAGCAGCCGTGACCAGCCCTTGCCAAATCCTCCCTCCTCTTCCATGGAACCGAGGAGCCTTTCTGCAAGGGGCTCTGGGGAATTTAAGAAGGAAGGGAACTTTCCTTACTTTTCTAGGAAGTCTCCTTTGGTTTTCTCCTCTTCTTGGAAATGTGTAAATATCAATGGCTTTTGTTTTTTCTTCTGAGATCCTAGAAACTGTGACTGTAGTGGGGTTTTTTGTTTTGTTTTTGTTGTTTTTTTGGCAGCATGAGATTGTTTCAGTTTACCAGGAAGAAGTGCAGAGGGACTGCAAGGTCCTCTTTTTGTTTTCATTTAAAAAATAAACCAATAAAATCCAGGGCAAATAGGAAACACTGCTAAAGATCTATCTATCTAAGTTCTCTCTTTGTGTTTGTTTGTAAACATGACAATTAATAGAGCTCTTTCAAGAGCTGATAACCTGGACCACGGTAGACTGGAAAAAAACAGTTGTTGGTTTTTTTTTGTTTTGTTTTGTTTTTCTTGAAGTAAACATGGTGCAGTAATAAAGTCAGTATGCAAGACCTAAAACCAATTGGATGGCTGCATCTCTTACCTCAAAAGACGCAGCAGTGTCGCTGTTGGGGACCTGCGGGGTAACAAACAAGAGAAAAGTGGTCTAGCTCGAACCGTTAAAACAGACCTTAGTGTACGTAGTAAAGCCAATAAACGACGTTAAAAAGAGAAAAGGTGATGGGGAAGAACATTCGGGACCACTTGTCTATGGAATTCACGTCAGTCAAGTCGGGGATTTTGACTTTGAGCTGGGAGGCGCGCCGGCGGATGCGACCCTTGCTGGGCACCCCGTGCCGGTCCAGGGCGCGCCCGTACCCCTCGCGGCGGCTCATGGGCTTGCGGTATTGGATGCTGGCGCTGTCGTAGGAGTACATGGTGGTCTTGGGGTCGCTCACGCCCGTGAGCACCTCGGAGCCGCTGGTCTCGTTCCTGATTTCCAGCGTGCTGAGGAGAATGTTGCCGTGGGCGTCAACCTGAAGGAGGCAGAAACGATGGCTCAGCCAGGACACTGACTTCCGTAAAATTGTTACCGATGACACAGCACGGGGCTCATTAATGTATGTATGTATGTATGTGTGTATGTATGTATGTGTGTGTGTGTGTGTGTGTGTGTGTGTGTGTGTGTGTGCATTTATTGCGGAACTGGGGGAGTTGTACCCACAGCTTCATACTGAGCTGTATCTCCAGCTCTATTAAAACTTTTAAAAAATTTGAGTCAAGGTCTTGCTAAATAGCCCAGTTTAACCTCAAGCCTCAGCTTTGAGACTAGCTGGGATTACAAACCTGTGTACCCCTACTCTCAGCTTCCCCTTAGTCTTTTTTGATAGACATCAGGATCTGTGTGTCTCTTGGACATAAGGGCTTTTTCTTTCTTTTCTTTTTTCTCTTTCTTTTATCCTTCCTTCCCTCCCTCCTTTCTTTCTCTATCATTTATCTAGTTAATTATCTAGTCATTTTCTAGTTATCATGTCTCCATTCAGGAAACATTTGTGTGTGTGTGTGTGTGTGTGTGTTTTCTTCTTTCTTTAAAGATGATGTATGGAAAAAAGCTAGAAAAAAATGTAAAGATTCATAATGGACCTTCACAGACAATCAGTATCTTGGTAGTCTTCCAGTCTTTTCTGTTAATATGTACTCACAAATACAGGTTCATCCATACATTTTGCTTCGCAAACCTGCCTTTGTCAGTTATTAATATAGCCTGATCACCTTTCCATGTTAACATATCTTTCTGTGAGATCATTTAGTAATAGCTTACATGGATAAGCCACAATTGAATTAATCTATTATCAGTTGTTGAGATTTGTTTTACTTTTACAGTGTTATAAACAAGACTGGAAGAAATATCTTTTACTTAAATTGTGCTTATCCATAATTATTTCCCCTGGCTACATTGCTAGAAATTAGCTTTATTTTTATGCTTGTACCTTGCCACTGTTCCTTGATGCTTTCTGCCAGTCAGGTGATACCTATCCCAGATTTCCTGGTCATTGCCTGTGCTGTGCTCATACAGATATTTTGGAACTACAGGTCATGCAAGCACATGTCGGTCTACAACGTGGCTTTGTTTACTTTCAAGCTGATATACTTCGCAAACTGATTTACCTGGAAGGTACATGGCTCAAACATGCATATAAATCTGCAGAACTTCCTAGGGCAGTATAGACAGTTGTGTTTAAAGCTAGTGGGATTTGCTCAGTGCCTGACTTACAATAAACACCTTTGAATAAGATTAATCTCAGTAAAACTTGTTGGAAGCACAAGAATAGATTGGGAGGCAAAAAAGCCTGATGAAGAAAATGATAGAGAAACAAAGCATAGGAGGAGGCAAAGAAGAGAGCAAAGAAATGAACAGAAATGGGTACACAATGGTGCTATCTGTAGTACAGACTAAGAAGTTGTATTGAGTGTCTACCATATGCCTTGCACTATGGCAGATGCTTTGCACATGTTACTTGCTTATACTTACAATCACCCTACTTTAAAAGGTAAGCCATTCCATTCTCATTTAATAAGTAATGCAACTGAGACTTAGAACAGTTGACAAACTAGCTCAATTTCACTTAACTAGTAGGAACTGGATTCATGTCTATCTGACTCAAGTTCATGCACTTTCGACTGAGCAGGAACTGCTTCACAATCCTTGACTTTTGTCACATCCTGCAGTGATTTTCGTGAAGCAGTTCACAGTGTCAAGCCTTAAGTTGGATGGAAAGAGAAATGGTGACTGGATCTGGTCTGTCTTTCTCTCTCCATTCTTATCTATTATCATTTCCTGCTCTGAAGCATTTTCTCCAGTCTAACTGTGAAACCCACTCTGCCCTGATTCTTTCTATACATCCATTGGTTTCTTTATTTAGGGAGTTTTTTGTTGTTAACAGCTACTATTTGTTAATCCTACTCTGTAATTTATTTCAGTTATTTCTCATAGCAGCACTACAAGACACATAATGTTATGCTAGTTCAACTGCTCGGAAAACTGAGGCCCAGAGAGGGTAAGTAAATTGCCTAAGATTAAGGAAATAACTACCTGACTTGGGATTAAAATATAGGATATTCTGTCTCAAATATTGCTTTCTTCCCTCTTTGCATGTTAATCAAATTAGTCTGTTTTCTTCAAGACTGAATTTAAGTCCTACTTTGTGTACCTTTGTACAATTCCTTATAATAGTAACCTCAAGAACTTTCTCCAAACTCTAATCTGTGTGCCAGATACAATGTTAGGAGTCAAGGATGTATGTGGAACAATTAGTATTCTTACCATCAAAAACCTTAGCAATGACTTTTACAAGCAAATTTATAAGCTCAGACACCCGTTGGTACTAAGAATCATGAATAGACAGAGGCAAGTTAGTCTAAATAATTGAGTGAAGCTAGGCACAGTGAGGAGCAAATGTCTAAGGAGGTCACTGCAACTTAGATCTAGTGGATACCTATAGATCCCAATGTTGCCAAGGAACCTGAGCATCTAGGTTTGTACATGAATTCTCTATCTAAAGTTGGCTCAATACTGTAAAAATGCTCCTTTGACCAAACAACACATTTGTGTCAGACTTTTGGTAAGCCAGTGAGAGACCACTGGTCTTTTTTATTTTTCTATTCCTCTATCCTTTAGCATATATTACTGTGTATTGAAACTGATTTTTAGGTTTATATCCAACTTTCTTCCTTGGAGGTGTAGAAGTACTGGCAGATCCATAAACACTAGGGCATTACAATAAAAGGAAAGAAGAAACTATGCCAAAGAAGAATCTTGAAAAAGAATTAAAGCTGAAATATAATTAACCTGATTGGATTTACAGAGTAATGTAAAGAAGGCAGTTTGGAAATTTTCAGCTTGCTGAGCCAAGAGGATTACATTGTCGTTAGCAGAAATGGAGAATTCAGTGTATGGTGCATCTTAGGGGTAAGAAAAAGTTTGTTACTTGGGTCAAATTTGTAACATACATTAGACATCCTGGTGGTGGTGGCCAGTTAGTGCTATTTATGTAAGCAGTGGTGACTGAAATAATCTGGAGACTGAGATGATTTAAAGAGTAGAATATGAGTTAGTGAAAAAGATAATAAAAAACAAAAAAGGCAGGAAAAGAATAAGAGATTGCAACGATAGAGAACTCACGGAGGAAGGAAGGTGGCCAAAGGGAAAGAGTATTCAATAGTGTTTCTCAGAGAGAATAGGGGGAATAAAGTTGTAGCAAATGTTTACTGATTTATCAATAGGCCACTTGTGGTCTTAGGAGAGAGCAGAAGAAGAACTTAGATTGCAAAGGATTAAGGACTGAGTTGATGCAGGAGACTCAGGCAATTTATATGGGCTTTCTTTCTCAGAAGTTTGTAGTTTCAAGCAAGAAAAGAAATAGAGCATTAGCTCCCACATATCAGGATAGGAGGCCAAATGAAAATGAAGACTTAATTGATGGGAAAAGAAGACTCAATTGATGGGAAAGAAGAATTTATAAAGGCAGATTTTTTTGGAAGTGAATGTTGAAGTAAAAGATGTGGAAGTATAGCAAAATGCCTTCAGAACTGGAAATTTAACAGATGGTGGTCAGGAAAGTAGAACATTTCTGAGTGACAGGGTCATCTGATGTTTCCTTGTGCCTTGAGGTTGTTTAATGGTGAAGGGTATTGGACATGGTGAACTAGATGCTGTCTCCAGCCTATAATGTTTGTGTATGTGTGTGTGCATAACATATCAATAGTGTAAATCTATGTTTGAAAAAGTCACAAACATGAAAATTGGTGCTAACAAGGATAGTAAGATTGAGATGACATAGAGAAAAATGTTGACATCTTTGAAGGGGGAAGAATATTTTAGAGGAGGAAAAATAGAACACCTGATTTTTCTAGGTATGGTGGAATACTCAAGAAAAAACATAAATTATGAATTTTTGTCCCTAAGAGATAATTATCTCTTTAAAAGTAAATGATTAAGGCATAATTATTGGAGTGATAATGAAGAGGTTTTTCTTTCTTTTTTTTTTTTTGGTACCGGGATCGAACTCCGGACTTTGTGCTTGGGAGGCAGGCGGCAGAAACACTGAGCTAAATCCTCAGCCTAAAGAGCTTTTAACCAAATTTAAAATGCTACCATATGAGTACATGGTAAGAGATTCATAAAAGTGAAATCATTGGAGGTCACAGAAAGCTTCATGAAACTATGGGTCTAGTATAGAATCCAGTATCAGAACAAAGGACTAGGAGCTGAAAGCTTTGTTTTCATCTTGGGTTTGTTATTAACTTCTGAGAAATAACCTTGGATAAGTCTGGATTTTAGTGTCCTCATATATAAATGGAAGGTTTTTCTTAGATAATCTCAAGAGCTGTTTCCAATCTTTTGCAGTCTTCGATCATGGAGAACATTCCAGGTGGAGGACCCAACATTCTAAAAAGCAAAACACAACTTGTAAAACTAAATTTTTTGATCTATACTATATACACCATTAAGTTACATTATTATTATGAATCTCTCTAAAGAAGTTTCTAGAATTTAGAATCAGACAGTGAAGCAGGCAGGTGCTTCTCATTTAACAGAAGTTATAGCAAACATAGTATGTTTTATTAAGATATTTTGGCTAACCTCAGTGCAGATTCAAGTGCACCTAAAGATTGTATGAAGTTTATTTGTTTGCAAAAACCTCTCAAAGTATTCTCTGTCTTTGACCTAGAAATCATAGCTTGATGTGGTTTGACATATAAATTAATGAATCCACTTCTGTCACTACACATGTTACTGCCCTAATCCCCACCCCTTGAAGAACAGTGGCTTTTCCTTCACCTTAACCATTTAAGGACATTCAATGTATGTTTATATCCACAACTGATGCAGCTTTCTAAAAATCTTATCCACAGAGAAAATGGCTTTCCCCCCCATCTTCAGAAGCAGCAAGAAGCCACAGTGTACCTTGTGTCATCTGCAGTGGTCAAACGTTAGCTAGTTCACAGTTCATGAGGATATAACATCTGAATTGAG